CGAGAAACGCCCTGGGATTTTTAATGACCACAGAGAGTCAGGACCTCGGTTTTACGTCTCATCCGAAGGACGGCGCCTGTTTACAGTATAGTGTCCCTATCACTATCCTGGGGCATTAGGACCCACATGGACCGCAGGGTGAGCGCCACCTGCTGGCCTCACTAACACCTCTTCCAGCAGCAACCATAGTTTTTCCCAGGAGGTCTTTCCCAGGTACTGACCAGGCTCACACCCGCTTAGCTTCAGTGGGTTGCCAGTTGTGAGTTGCAGGATGATATGGCTGCTGGCCACCCTGTGATTTAAAAATATCTGAACAAGTTAAAGAAAATATGATTATGATTTTTCTATTTGCACACTGAAATGACGCATTACCATTCCAGTTTTTCGGTGTCTGTAATGTGCTGCTCATGTACTGATAGAGTTCCATAGGTGTGGTCACTTAACTGGTCCTCTTCACTTGCCTCAAGAGGTGAGTTTTGATTTAATCTGTACAAAGTTTGATGGGGAGGCCAAGGACAGGAGAAATGAAATTGGAGAAGCAGAACTATAAACACAATAGACCTGCTCAGTCGGGGCGGTGCGGTGGCTCTGTGGCTAAGGATCTGCGCCTGTGGCTGGAAGGTTGCCGGTTCGTATCCTGCGGCCGACAGAGGAATCCTACTCCGTTGGGCCCCTGAACAAGGCCCTTAACCCCAACTGCTCCAGGGGTTATAAATGGCTGACCCTGCGCTCTGACCCCAAGCTTCTCTCCCTGTCTGTGTGTCTCATGGAGAGCAAGTTGGGGTCTGTGAAAAGACAATTTCCTAATACAAGAAATTGTATATGGCCAATAAAGTGATCTTATCTTATCTCAGTAAAGTGGTATCTTTGAATAAATCTCCTTCCGAAACCATTTTGGTTTTCTCATTTATTTTTCATACCTTGAGACAATTTCTTCAGTGGTGCCGTTGCAAATGATGTATAAAAGTATGCCTTGACAATAGCAGAAGCTGTTGAGGTCGTGTCTCACGGACACTCAGCTCACTAGGTAGCTCACACAATAGGCAGTTAAGATTAAAGAGCATTAATTTGTCAATTCAATGTTATGAAAGCAAAAAGGAATATTAAGGCAAATGAGAAGACCTATGTAATGGAGTCAAGATTTTCTGTGGGGAGAGAGAGTATTCCAGTGTCCTTGAAGGAAATATATTTGAATGCCTTTTTTTGTGCACGCATGCAGTTGTCCTTCCCTGTTGCTGACTGAGGATGAGCCAGCTGAAGTATGCATACCAGGATATTCAGCCAGTGGCCCTGTGCATTCCTGAGGAGACCACCACTTCCAGGTTGTACTCCAGCACGGTAGAGGGGGTGGAAGGGCAGGTTTCCAGTCTGGTGGAGATGTTCCTCGTGGAGGTCTACCGGTGTCGAGTCTGCCAGTTCACCAGCAGCCTGAAGAGCAAGATCAGTTCCCATGTGATCGAGCGCCACGAGCTGGGCAGGACGTGCCTCCCAATAAACTGCCTCGAGAAAGACGAAGGGGATCGGCCGGTGGAAGAGGAGGAGATGGGTCGGGGCTCCCCCTACTGTGTGGAGGATGAACTGCAGTCCGATAGCAAGGAGAGTGAAGACAACATGGATGTGAGCCTGGAGCGGATGTCCTTCCTGCTGCCCATGTATGGGATGTTGCACAATGTTAGCCCTCAGTCATGTGACATGGGTCTCAGTACCAACAGTGATGGCCTCCATGTGGCACACAACTGTGAGGTGAGTCCAAAGTCTGGGTAGAATATTCACCCATAGCAATAATACACACCTGGTGTCTAGCAGTTTGTTCATCTTCTGCCTAGATGACCTACAAGATCTTGTTATACCGCTGTAGCAGAAGTTTGTCTGTCCAGGTTTATTCAAATTTGTTGGACAAGTATGAAGTATTCAATACCTAGATCTGGCTTGTCTAGGTATTGAAGGCATTTGCTCACAAATTCTGAAATGAATCAAACTACTTTTCCTTTTAATTAGATTTCAGCTTTTCTGTCTGTAGTTTAGCCAATCTAATCTTAGCTTTTGACTCAGTGGTCAATACCGAAGCAAAAATGTAGAACTATATTTTTTTGTCTTCATTTTGGCTATGGAAAAGCCTTTCTGCCACAAGCACAGTGTATCACCAATCTCCAAGGTCATAGAGTACCCTCAGGAAAGCAATTAAAGTAGGCGAGAGTGATTTATTTTTTATCTTAGAAGTGACACTTAGTGCGCTGCCAATTTCAGCCTTAATTACTGAAATGACGAAGAAACGCATAAGGATATAAAACATTACTCAAACTCGAAAAAGTTCTAGCTGAAGTTTGACAGAAGAATGAATTATAACATTGCAGCCAATATAAATTTTGCTTTCATTATTCAGGGTGAATGGGAGGAAACTCATCGCTATATATTATAGACAGAATGCCCAAAACTGCATTGTTCCTATAGTATAGGTGTTTCATGAGCAGATTTTACAGTGGGTGACCTCATACTGCAATTACTTTGAAAAGGGTCCTGAACTTTTCTATTGATTAATTTACGTCTTATAGAGTAAGTTTTATTGTTTTTTTTAAAAAGAATTGACATTTTTTAAGGTGTGGCCCCAGAATTTCTACCCAGTACAAGCACTTTAGGAATACTTCCTGAGTTTCTGATGCCTGGTTATGCCCAAGGCATACACTTCACCAGCCTCTGATGATTTAGAGGATTCCCTTCGCTGTCAAGAGTTGTTTTTTGATCTTTAGTTTACATGCACTTCATTCGTTTTGTGGTTGTAACTTGTAAAGAAATGTGCCTCTTAAACCCATATGCAGGTGAGCACTCTCTTTGAGGAAGGGGAGGAGTCCGGTCAATTCCGTCTGGAGGATCAAACTTCCATAGAGTCTGGCCCCCTGTCCTGTCCAATGGACTCCACAGTTGGGTCCACTTGCGAGGACCAGGATGAAGAGATGGCTCAGTCAGCTCACCTCATGTCTCTGGGCCTCTGCAGGATCTCAAGCATGAAAACCCACCCCTTGATCTCTGAGCCAAGTAAGGCCCTGCAACAAGCACAGGAGCCTCCCGACGGCCCTGCCAAAAAGGAGGAAGTTTCCTCATCGCTCCCAGGTTCCCTGAAGGGCCAAGACAGCCAGGACACTGAGAAGAAGACCTTTTTGTGTTCCCTTTGCAATCTGGACTTTGCCTCCAAACACCTTCTTGAGGTGCACCTTAAATGCCACGATGGGGAGCAGGGCTTCAGGTGTCTGAAGTGTGACTTGTTTGTGTTGGAGTGGTCGTCTATGGAGAAGCACCTGCAGGGGCATGGGAAGGAACAGAGGTCCCACCGGTGTGGAGTCTGTCAGAAAACATTCAGGAAGGCAAAGTCAAGGGACTCCCACCAGAGCAGGCACAGCAAAGCCCAGACGCCGACTCAGTGTGCTCTCTGTCCGGCGCTGTGCCCTTCGGAGCAAGAGAGGGAGCAGCACGCTGCCTGCCACTTCCAGGACACTTTTAAATGTCTACACTGCAGCTTCACAGGTAGTGCCCTCAAATCTCACTCATCAGCCGGTCATTGCCTGCAACTCTGAAAGAGCCATTTTACACATTTAACCAGCACTAAAGTGCAAATGAAATAAAAAAAAGTCGTCATCTACCAATTAAAAGGCTTAAAGCTCATCAGTTCCATGTCCAGTGAACCTCTGAAAAATTTGATCTCTCAGTTTGGGAGTGGGTTATGGATGAGGTTGGTTGAAATTGTTTTACATTTTCAATTTTGCACTATGTAATTAGAACTACTAGTTGTTTTGACTTTGAGTTGGCTTGACTTTCTGACAGCAGTTCCTGTACCCAGTCAGGAGAAAATGAGACGCATATATAGACTCCTTTGCCATGCTAGCCAACAGAGCCTTTTTTCTTTAAGACCCATTACAAGCTTCATAGTGCCTGGCTGGAGAGTTAGCACTGATTGGAGGAAAAGCACATGTCTCACTGACATCACTGCAAGTCTGCAGGTGCCAAAGAAGTCACAGGAGAAGCTGTAGGTTAGAAAGATGAGGGAATCTTGGCTGACTAAAGCCAATGTTATCCCAGTACACAACATTCAAAGCACTGCTTGGAGAATCTCCAGTTACAATCATATAATAACGTGGCACACAATACTATTGTCAATAGGCTGAAGTTTTGTCTGGTCTAGGTTAATTTTGTCACCCATTTTTATTAAAAAAATACCACAAATCCTGTAGGAAGGTCTCAAAAGCCTTCTGGAATTCATTCTCATTATGATCTTGCTTGTTTGGCAGAAATCTTAATTTGAGTTAAAAAGCTTCTGAATTAAGACAATTGAATTTGTTTTCAACAGTTGAACAGACATAAGGAATTAGACATCTGCAATTAAAATTGGTTAATTAACTAAATATTACTTCAGCTAGGTGTTCAATTAAATAATTGAGATCCTGGCTAGAATAAAACTAGCACAGAGTTCTTGATTACAGAATTGGGAAGCGTGGATTTGGTGGCAGTTGCAAGCATCACAAAAACCCCCATCT